TAGTGGTTGGAGAGTAAATTGGCACAATCTATCTGTAGCATTGTTTGATGGTACTGTATCTGTAGAAATTCCACACCAGTTATTGAAGGAAATAAAAATGTTAAGTGTTCATTGCACATGATGATCATAACAGAATTTATTATAGCAAAAAGTGGTTAAAACACAAGTGCCTAATAATAGGAAAATGTTTAAATTTATAATTATGCAGTATCAATGAAATTAAGTATCATAAAGACGGCTTAATGGGGCTAGCTAGGTGGCACAGCACAGTAGTGCACTGCTCAGTGATCCTGGCTCCATATGGACACCCATGGGTTTGGTTCCACAGTCAGCCTGTACATGCAGAGCACACATGCCCATGATCCTGACTGGCTGGAAAGACTGGAGGGGGCAGGGAGTGCAATGTGAGACCCTGTTAAGAATGGCTCTCTCTCTTTCTCTCTCTCTCTTATACTCATTAAAGAAATAAAGTTTTTTTTTAAAAAGGTTCATTTCAAAAAAGAAACAGCTGGAACAGTAGGTGGTGTGACTGTTAAGGTGCTGGATCCCTTGGTTACTATGTGGTTCAAGTCCTGGACCCAGTGGTGTGAAAAACACACTAAGCACGTGTGTGTGTGTGTGTGTGTGTGTGTGTGTGTGTGTGTCCTAAATCCCAAGAGAATGGAGAAAAAGAATTGTGACGTGGCCATTCCCCACCCTGGGGTAGGTGTGTGTGTACTTTCTTACTTTCCCTCTCTGTCTCTCTTTCTCTGGTGGGTGCACACACTCTATGGCAAAAATCTAAAAAAAAAATTACAAAAAGATAAAGAGAGAGACTGGTTAATGACATAAACATTCTCACAATAAATGAGAATTAAAAGGTATCTAAGTAATTATTTAGAAATAATAGTTTTGAAAATATGTACAAATGTAATAGAAAACTGAAAGAAAAAATAAGAGAAAAGGCATCAAAGAAGTAATATTAATTGTCTCTATGAGGTGAAGTAGAATTTTAGAAGATCATAATTTTCTCTTTTTTTATGTTCTCATGACATATTCTTTCTTTATAATAAATATGCTTTCCTTTAAGTATCAGAAAATGTTAAGCAATGTATTTTTTTTTAAGATTCCACTTTTCTTTTAGCCTTGTGGGAAATATCCAATCCATTCACAAATATTTGTTGAGAATATATTATTAATCCTCAGATTCAGAACATCTGTAATAACAATGTCATAATACCTTCCCAAGCTTGATTTTCTGTTTTCCTTGTAAAAGAATTCCCTGTAAAGACTTCAAAATGGGCAAGCACTCTCCTCCCTCTCTCTAGACTCTTTTCAAGTTGTAGAGGTAGAAGGGGAAGAATAGCAAGAAGGTTCGGGAGTGTTAAGAATGAACAAGGACAACTGTTTCTTAACTTTCAAAAAGTTCATTTTCTTTAAAGAGGTTTTTGCCTTAGAGCACATGCATTTGTGGGGAGAGACAGAGACAGTGAGAGGGAAAGTGAGAAATTACCCCCTAGGGGGGACGGTCACACCACAGTCCCTTCTCTATTCTCCTCCCTGGATCTTGGGCACGCATCACACATGCCTGGTGTGAGTTGTGTTTGTTCGTTTACATCTAATCACTTCTTTACAGTGTACATTCCTTTTTCTAGCATGAATACCACGCATGCAAGACAAAAGATATTACTACATATATTATCATCAGCAAACAGCTTTTCATTTTCTGTTAATCAAACATACTTTCACTTTTTCTGGTGTGAGTTTTAAGCTGAGTCCGGGACTTGGGCACTGTGGTTGGCCATGTGAGGATTCCAGTGATGTAACCAATATGCCATCTGCTGGTCCCCTAAAAAGTTCATTTAGTTACCTTTTAAATTTACTTTAGACAAAAAATTATTTCTTCACAAGAGAGACAAGCACTCTCAACAGAGTCCCATGTCATGATTCCCTCAGCCGTGCTGTGATCCCCCAAGCCTTCCCAGCCAACAGAGTCCCATGTCATGATTCCCTCAGCCTTCCCAGTTAGCCAGGATCTCAGGCCCACGCCCACCCTGAGTAGGGTGGAGCAGGAAACCAGCCCTGCAATTGATCCTCCATGTGGATCCAGTATCACTTGAACAGCATGTTACCTTACCACTGTGCCTCAAACAAGCCCTAAATTTACTTTTTAATACTGTTTTATGTTTTCATAAATTAAGCCTTGATTTTTTTGTAGAAAGTGTTCCCTAATCACAACTTTGCCTCAAATTGCTAAGTAATTTTCAAAGAATTCCTTAAGATTCTTTACTCCCTTGCACTTTGAAGAACCTTACCCCAGGGGCTGGCAGGTGGTGTAGCAGGTAAGGTGCTGGACTCCCACACGGCCGAATTTGGTTCCAGTCCCAGACTAGTCCCAGTCGCAGTCCCAAAGTTCAACTTTGGCTTGTTTTCTCATTTCCTCTCTCTCTCTCTCTCTCTCTCAAATTTAAATAAATAAATAAATAAATAAATAAATAAAGTTAAATAAAATAATTCTTGGAAAAAAATAAAAGCTTACCCCAACCAGCTATAGTATTGGGGACTGTTCATTTATCTAACTGCTTCAGTGTGGTGCAGCAAGATTCAGTGAGTCAAACAATCTAACCTCTGAAGTTTATTTAACTATAAGATCCTTTATTTATAGTTTTGTCTATAAGGCTGGTGTACTCACTGGAGAGAGACAGAGTAAGAGAGGAAAAGGGAGAAATCACCCTCCAGGGGGATGGCCATTGTGCAATCCATGTACACACACCCAACGTATTTTTCAAGGTGCCAATCCAGGACACTAATCACACACTCGGCCATGTGGGATCCAGCCACCTTAACCACGAAATCATCTGGCTGGCTGAAAATGTACTATTTTGAAGGTAAATGTCAGAAGAAAAATAAAAGTTATCAAGTGCCAGAGATGCTGGGTACTGACTCAAAGAATTTCAGGAGACAAACAAAAACACTAGGTTAAAGGACAGCAGGTTGCATAGTGGTTAAGGCACTTGAAACCCATATGGCCAACCACAGTTCAAGTCTCAGACCAAGTGGCTTAAAATTCATGCTGGGTGTATGTGCATGTGTGCCCACAATCATAAGAGGAGAATAGAGGAGAAGGGACTGTGGCAAATCACCCCCCAGGGGGTGATTTCTCATTTTCCATCGGTCTCTTTGGTGAGTGCATAAGGCCAATGCAAAAATCTCTCTTAAAAACAAAAACAAATGCACCGGGCTAATTCTTTCTTTTTCCTTATTTAAATAAACAAAAAACTCCATCTGGAAATAACCATAATGCCCATCAAATGGGGACTGGTTAAATAAATCAGTTGATTCAATAAATAGATATGTATACAAACAGAACAAAATTAGTTTCTGTAAGTTCGTATGAAAAGATAACCCAGATATAAAGTGAAAACACACTGAAGAGTGCATATGTAGTGTGATTACATATTACTTAAAAGGATTACATATTATATATGAAAGTAAACATGACTATGTATTACTTTATTTTATTTTTTTTAGAGAGACTTTTGCCATGGGGCACATGCACTTACCAGAGTGACAGAGACAGAAAGACAGCAAAAAATCACCCCCAGGAGGGATGGCCACACAGCAATCCCTTCTCCAATCTCCTCTCTGAATTTTGGGCATTGATGTACATGTACCCAGCGAGAGTTTTAATGTGTTGAGTCTGGAACTATGAACCGCAATTGACTACGTGGGTGTCTGATGACATAACCACTATGCCATCTGCTGGTTCCCCATATTTAAATAAAGGACAAACTACTTACATATGTGCATGTACATAAACATTTATAAAAGGAACTCACTGTTCCCTTCTGAGGCAGGGAATGAGAGTCTTGCTCTTTATTTTATGCACTTGGAGACTGTTTCCAATGCTTTTTTTTCTAACCTTTTGTAGCCATTCTTTCTATGTAAATAGGCGTTCAAAATGAGTTTCAAGGGACCAGTAGACGGTGTAATGGTTACGATGCTTAGATTCCCACCTAGTGGACCACGGTTGGATTCCCAGACCCAGTGGTTTGAAACTCACCCTGGGTGCATGTGCATGTATGCTGAAAATCTCAAGAAGAGAACAGAGAAAGGAATGCAGAGGCCATTCCCCGCGGGGTTGACTTTTCGCTTTCTGTCTGTCTGTCTGTCTCTCTCTCCCCCCTCTCTCTGTCTCTCCGGCAAGCCCAGAATCCTACAGCAAAAATCTCTCTCTAAAAAAAAAAGTTTCAAGACAAGATGTATTCGATTTGGGAGAGTAAAAGTCAACATTTATGAAAAAAAAAAAACTCATCCCGTTTTTGACTTAAAAAAAAAGCCTTCTTAAGATACAATTTACATACCACAAATTCTCCCAATGTAGAATGTACAGCTTGTGGCCTAGATTTTGTTTTGAATTATAAGAATTTATTTGGCAAGAAAAACAAAACTATCTTTTATGTAACCACTCACGAGAATAGTTTTCGTGTCCAAGAAATCTCTGCGGGTATCAAAATCAGAGCCAATTTTGTGACTGCGACGAGGATAAAGACGTTAACACCCGCCCTTCAGATTAAGAGACAAAGGTCAGAATTACAAGATTCCCACAGAGTTTAACCAAAAACAAAAAGAAAGAAAGAAACTCTAGCAAGATTAGTTTTCGCTAAGCGAGGGCACGTGGAGAGAGGGCACGTGGAGAAAAAGGCAGATCGTTTGGATGGACCCTCAGAAGCTTCTGCGACCTGGGGGATGCACTTCCCAAAGCCAAGCGATTTCCTTTTATCTTTGAACTTTTGAGCGTGTCCTCACTTCCTAGTCCTTTCTCCACCTGCCCCGCACCCCGCCCCACTTCCCCAACCTGCTCTGAGCTGCCTATCGAGGCCGGAGGTTTCGGGGAGCACCGGCTTGGCAGCCCGAGATCTCTCGCCCCAACTGCAGAAGGAAAATGCTGAACCCGCATCTCGGCCGCTTCTCCCACCCCGGCGGGGACGCACGGCCAGCCCACCGGCCCGGGCTCTCACCTGTGCCCCGCAGCATGTTGTCTCGGAGCAAGTCCCCGCTGGAGAGGTGCTTCAGCTGGAAGTGTTTGGTGATGCGAGACGACACGGTGCCTTTGCCGGAGCCCGGGGCCCCCATGATCACTGCGCGCAGGAGCCGCGCAGACGCCCCCATGGCTGCAGACAGAGGCCTAAGACGCGCGGACACTGGGGCTTCGGCCTTGGCGGCCGGCACACCCTCTCTCCGGCCGGAGCTAGCCGGCTAGCAGCGCAGTAAGCAAGCGGCGGCCACAGGGCCCAGGCGCTCCCGGGAGCGCAGCGACGGCCACTGGGGGCGCCGCCGCGCCGGCGCCCGGCGCCTCCCCCCGCCCCTCGGCGACCACGGCGCGCCCCCTCTCCGGCGCCTAGTCCAGCCCAGTCCTGCCGGCGTAAACGGCGCCTTCTCTGTGCGCTCTTGGCAACCCCTGTGAGCTACCGCGGTACTGCGCCCACCTGCGCCCTCCGCGCCTCCTAGTCACTGGCCGCTGCACTTTGCTCCCTTGTGCCACCCTTCCACACCTCGTTTGCTCCCTCGGCCGCCGGGGCCTCCGTGATGCCTCCTCAGCGACCCCTGCGTGCCCCCCCCCATTTCAAATCGATCCCATAACCTTTTTGCGCCCCCGACCCCATAGTGTCACGCCGTGTCTTGCCCAGTCCCAAGTGATAGAGTGCGCTCCCCACCGTTCACTTTTGGCAGCGTTTGCGCTACCCTCCCTGCCTCTAGTATCCAGCCTCTCGTGTACAGGTTGCTGGACTTAACCTGCCCCCAACTCTCAAACTTCCTTCTCAGCCTTCGCCTCCCACCCACCACCACCCCGCTCCAGGGCCAGGGCCTGACCTAGTCTATCCCAGCCGGATAAACCGCGTCCCACTCCGTGCCCCTTTGGCAGTCCCTATTTATCCTGCCCCTGGTGTCCACTCAGTCCCTCTTTCGCTAGATCACTCCTCACTCTGCGCCCACCTCCTGCACTTCCCTCCTCTTCCACTGCTGAGACCTCTTGTCTATTTTATCTGTGTAGAATGTGGGTGGGGAGGAACACCGGGGCAACACCAGAGCTGAAAGGGCCATCCCTCTGTTTTCACAGGAAAGAAAACCTATTCTTCATTGAGCGAGGCACTGTAAGTCACACATCTAAGGGAGTGAGAATTCTCTATAATCTCCCAGTATCCCACTGTCAGACTCAAAAGCAGATGGTCTAATGGTTACATTAGGTCGTTGGACTCCCAGGTACTCTACCACGGTTAGAGTCCCCGACCTGGCGACCTTAAACTCACACACTGGGCTGCTGAGCGTGGGTGCCCAAAATCCCCAGAGGAGATGGAGGAGAAGGGATTGTGGCATGGCCATACCTTCTGGTGGGGGGTGATTTCTAATTTTCTGTTTCTCTGTCTCTGTGGAAGCATACATGCCCTATAGCAAAAATAATCTCTCAAAAAAAGAAAAAAGGAGTGACTTTTAGCCCCAAAACACTGTATTCTCAGGCTCCACTACTTGCTCTCAGAAATGCATTCTTTATAGAAATATTTATTCAATGCCTACTATGTGCCAGATACTGTTCTATTATTGGGGGAGGGGAGGCTCTGAAGATACTGTGATGAAGAAGACCATGATTTTGCCCTTGGAGTTCATAGTCTAGTGGTGGAGAATCTATGATAGCACTTTAAATAAAATAAAACAATGTGTGAAAGTGTGGAGTGAGCCTGTTTGAGCAGGATGCTCAGTATGGAGAGGTCTTGCCTTTGAAGAAATGGCGCTTGCCCTGAGTACTGAAAGGGAGAATGACACAGAAAAGGGGAAAGAACCCAAAGCTGAAAAGTTTGGCATGTTCCAGGAGTAGGAACACAGGCAAATATTTGAAGGCCATTTTATCTGTAAAATACGCATGGAAGATTAATATGATGTGGTTAAAATTATATCTGTAAGGTACTTTAGTACAATGCCAGCTGCAGGATAGATGCTCAGTAAAGATTGTCAGTTTGTTATCATTTTTTTGTACTGGGACACTAAGCTAAGGCAGAAAGTTCAGCAAAAAAAAAAAAAAAAACAGACTTCCTCCCTAGAGGTTGCCATCTGACAGGTCTAAAACAGCTTTTAATTTCAAAGAAAACAAATTATTTCAGACAAGTGTATCAAGAAAAGTCTTGATCAGGATGTGAATCTGAACTGGGTGAATGAGTAGGAGGATTTCAATACAGGAAGACAGCCGTGTACTTAGAAAAAAAAATTAATAGCCTAAGAAAAAAATTTAATAGCCTATACATACTCATTACCAAGCAAGAAAGAATGAAAATGAAAATAATTAAACATTCAATTCCTGTAGTTGGAAAAAAGAGTGTCAAAATAACCCAAAGAAAGCAAAATAAGGAATTAAGTAAGCAACATAAATAAAAGGATAAGAAAACTTAAAAGTAAAACTGACAAAAGAAGGAAAAGGTCTGGACAAGTACAAGTTAGGCAATACTAGAATTTCTGAAGGTGTGGAGGAAGTACTCCTAATCTCCAAAGCTGGGAACATTTGCAGTTTCGGCCTCAAAAGAGACTCAAAAGAAAATTGTAGAAAAATTTGGATTAGAAAAGAAGTGGTCAAACAATAAACAAAAAAATGACTGAGACTCATCCTCTCATTGCAGGGGAAAAGCTGACTATTGTGGTCACATTAAAAGCCCACAAAATGCCAACTAACTTTGGCTTTGCTAAGGGTTGTTTACAAATGAGTAACTGCCAGACTGGGAAATCTCCAGGCAACAGCGCCTTGCATAGTCATTTCACCACACACAGGCATTTGTATAGATCTGTTCTTCACTGCTTAACTTACTCTAGTAGTACAGACTGTTGAATTCAAATTAATACAGACTCTAATATAAATTTTGTCTAACTGAGTGTTTATACAGATTAACTTGAATCAAATAAACCCAAATAAGTGTTTTATCTATGAACAAGTGTTTATACAGATTAAGAGAATCAAAACCCAAAGAATATTTTGCACATAGTAGGCATTCAATGTGTGTGTTGTTTCCATACTAAGAATTACTATTTTGTCATGTTGAAGATTAGAATATTTAAGAGCTCCAGAATGCAGGCCTGCCAGTGGCATGGTGGTTAAGGTAGATAGATCCCATACATTTGACTGCGCATTCAAATCCCAGACTCTGCAGTTTGAAAAACACCTGGTATGTGTGCATGTGTGCTCAAAATCCCAAAAGCATGGATAAACGGAGGAGAAGGGTTTGCAGAGTGACCATCCCTCTTGGGGAGTGCTTATTCACTTTCCCTCTTTCTGTGTGTCTTTTTTCTAGGAAATGAGATCTAAAATCTGAATTCTGGACTTCTCCAACACTTAGCGTGTGGAGATGAAGAAGAAATGTTGAAAGAGCTGGGAACAGCAATTGGCATAATGGCTATGTTGCTGGACTCCCATGTAGTCGACCGCAGTTCGAGTCCCAGAACTGGAGACTTAAACTCACGCCAGGCACATGTGTGTGCTTGTCCAAGCTCCCGAGAAGAGAATGGAGGAAAAGGCATTGTGGCATGGCCATCCCCGTTGGGGGGTGATTTCTCGCTATCTCTCTGTCTTTCTGTTGAGCGCACACGCCCTATAGCAAAAACCTCTCCAAAAAGAAAAAGAAACATTGAAAGAGCCTGAGAAAGCTTAGTTGGGAAAGAAAATTGGATGAATATGGTGCCATAAAAGTCCACTGAAGAATGTGTTTCCAAAAGGGAGCTTTTAAATTAGTCAAATTCTGCTGATAGGCAGGACCAAGAACTAGATGAAAAATACAAGAATAATTTTGCCTAAAATCCCATAACTATTCAGCAATGAATTAGTGATTGCAAAAAATGCTGGGTGAGATATAGAAATGCTTTTTCTGGGGAGAACTTCTGGGAGTAGAATAAGGATATCAGGAGAAAAAGAAAGAGAAGAGCAACAGAATAGTGGAGGCAAAGCTCAGAAATTATAAGATCATTTTTAAAAAGTTTAACACTTTACAAAAGCAACAGAAGAGGGAGCCTTAGAGTTAAGGCGACTTGATTGCAACATTCATTTGGACAGATAAATAAGCAAGAATATCTGGGAAAGCTCTAAAAATGGACAATGAGAAGGGGCAAGCGCTACCAGTTATTAGAAAGCCTGTATGTTGCGACCAGCAGTTAATGTAATGGCTATGTCGCTGGACTCTCACGTAGTCGACCGCGGTTCGTGTCCCAGACCTGGTGGCTTAAAACTCACGCCGGGCACGTGTGCGTGCATGCCCAAGATCCCAAGAGGAGAATAGAGGAAAAGGGATTGCGGCGTGGCCATCCCCCCTGGGGGAATAATTTCTCGCTTTCTGTCTTTCTGTCTGTGTCTGGCAAGCACACGCGCCCTATAGCAAAAACCTCTCCAAAAAAATAAATAAATAAATAAAAGAAATCCTGTATGTTAAGAAGATAGTACTGTCACATTTCTTAGTCTATCTTGTGTTTTTATAACAGAATACTCAGTGATTTATAATGAAAATAAATGTACTGACTTACAGAACTGGAAGGTAGGAAGTCCAAGATCAAGAAGCCAGTATCTGACAAGTGACTTCTTGCTATATTATATGGTAAAAGGTAAAAGGGCAAAGAAAGAGAGTGCATGACCAAAAGTCACTTTAATGAAACACCGAACCCACCAAGCAGAGTGGAGCCACCATGGCCCAACCACTTCCCAAAGGTCTCACCTCCAAACAGCATCAAAATGGCAATTAAATTTCAACATCTTTGGAGGGGACAAACATTCAAACCATAACAGCACATAAGTAAAACAGAATAGAAATTCAAAAATAAACTAAATTGCTTCTGGAAATGTAATAAGTGATGAAGGTGGCATCTCAAATCAATAGAAAAAAAAGACCTTCTTAATACATAGTCTTGGGATAAATGGGTAGAAACAATAAAATCTGTTTCTCCACTCTAAGATAAATTCCAATAAATCAAAATTGTAAATTTTTAAAAGAAAACTACATAGATACTAGAAATACTACCTAAAGTATAGTGAAATTTCTTTATAATCAGAAAATGAGAAACCGGTCTAACTCAAAACCCAGAGGCAATAAAGGAAAAGATTAAAATTTGGACTATACAAAACAAAAATTTTTGCATAGCAAAATATATCAAAAGAAAAATAGAAAGACAAATGACAAACCAGGAAGAGTATTTCCAGTTTATGTTATAGACAAAGGTCAATGCCCAGAGGTGTGTTTCTAGGGGAGGAAATAGTGCAAATACTCCCACCATAGCCCATTTTAACTTGTCAAGGCCACAGC